TGTGATAAGAACTACATAAAATGACAGAAACCATCTTTGGGAAAAATTTACTGATGTGTTTTTTGAGTTTTTAGTTTGGCCCATGTCTCAGGCTTTATGACCTGTACTGCAGCCAGCCACCAGGAGGTGATTTAGATGTTTTGGCACTTTTGGGGAGTTGTCATGTCATCCATCTTTTTTTATACTATCCACTGGTACAACTAAAACGCAGATGGACACAACGTGAAAGAGAGCTGAATCCCAAATCACCCCTTACCCCAACCACTTAGCTCTACCCCTCTTTATGGATAGGGCAACATGGCCCTCCAAATGGAGGTTTTTCAGAGGCATACTCTAAACATAGTGTTATGATATATCTCCCACATCAACACACTGATCAGAAAAACTGTCATCTATCTGACATTAAGTCTTAAGGCAGGGTTTCTCACACATTCGTTTGTGGATGCCTGCCACGATATCAACCTCTGGCGCCACATATTGATTCTCTATTTTTGGAGCTGGACCGTTGATTCGGGGCGCTGTTGGAATATACTGTTGATTATTCACAGGACCACACCCTTGGAGCGCAGAGCGTACTCTTTGCACTGACGGAGCAGCAGAACATCCGGCACAGGAAAAGTGAAACTTAACTGTTTGTTGTGCTGTTTCTAAAATGTAGCTCTCACTCACCTCTGCAGCAGCTGCTCTTTTCATCCATCAATCATCAACTCCGCTGATCAAACTCCACAAAGTGCTGCTGAATTTAGAAAGGGAACAGAGAACCAAGACAATACAAAGGGACACGCACCTACACAAAAACTAGTCGCCCCTGTTAATTAATGCCATCGACAACTACTGATGACGTATCAGAACATTTGTCCTATTGCATAGAGTATGCTTTCAACCACTACACCTTGTCTGTCTGTTACAACAGGTACAGCGGCATTTGAAAATGAGAGGTAGGGGTTAAAATAAGAAATGGGATTGGGCACCTCAAGTTCCAAAATACAAATTCACATCACCCTAAATATACTGTTAATGAACCGACAGCTAATAATGCCCAAACTGCTGGAATGTTGGCGCGGCTGGTTATAGATGTGCAAACAATTAATAAAGGCTAATGAATGCATTTAAACTCTGTTGTTCTTCTCCTTCTACAAATATTTGTATGTCTTAAAGGTCCAATGGACATTTGGAGATTTGCTTGTTAGTGTTTAACAAAATGCACATGGTCCATTAACGTTAAATCTTGGTGTCTCGTCAGAAGACTTAAGTGATTAATGAAGGTATTCACTCTGTGCCAGCTGTGTGGAAAGTAAGCAGGATTTTTAAGGAGTGAGATTGTTCTCCTCGGTCATTGAGTTCTGAGCAGAAGGAACACAAGTGAACATGATCCCCCCGGAAACACGGAGGGTGTTTCTGCCTCCGCAATCTGAACTATCAGTGTGTTTTTAATTTATCTATCTATTTCGGAGATAACTGTGCGCTCGTGCCAGCTAAACCAGCCAAATTTGTCCTGCATCTGTGTTTGTGATTAAAGCAAGCCTGAACAGCTTTTAACACAGATGCAGTTTGGAGCCAAAATGAGCAACAAAATTTCACTGACCGCTTAATCAGCAAAACACAGCCTTGTCTGCACTTCTCCTCCCACCTCAAAGCAAACTGTGTTCATTTTGTGCCAGGAAACTACCAAACAGGCGCAGACGCAAAGAAAAAAAAAATAGACTTGAGTCTGAGGAAAATTGCATAAAAACTGCATTTGCCCTTGCGCTGGCTTTGCCCTGCAGAAAAATAGAGCCCTTAGTATTTTGGGTCTGTCAGCTGAGCATGCAGCAGAGGAGACAGAGAGAGAGGGAGAGTATGTTAAAGCCCAGAGTGGGTCCCTCACTTCCCTGTTTCAAATTCCTGAGGTTTCCAGTGCTCTGGAAGGCCTGGAGCTAATTTGGCTTTCAGGCTTTCCCCTCTAATTCTTTGCGACTAATTACAGTCGTATTCCTGCAATTAAACTGATAAACTCTGCCGAGCTTGGCAAGGTTCGCGAAGAAACCCCAGCCCCTCCTTACTGGCTCTGGGCACCACCTATTCGCCATCTTTTTGTGTTGCCTTTCGCCATAGTAAACACACTAAATATAAAATCAACCTAAATTCTTCGACAGAGCCTGTTTCCTAGGCCGTAGTATTTACTGCCTCCGGTGACAATGCCAGGAACATCGGGGGGAGCGTCCAGAGGTCAGGCAGATGTTGCGCATGAAGGGATTTGAGCGGTTATGTCTGAAAAACCTAAACACCCCAAAGGGATATTATTCTATTATCATTAAAGCATGATTGCAATTTAGGGACAACTTCATAACATCATCACAGAGAAGTGGTCTTACGTATTCCTCTTGGATTCAAGTGGCTTGAATGTTTTAATTGGGCCTGCCAGCACTATCTCAGCTCATGCATACAGATAGGTCACCTAGGGAGAAAGAAAAACAAGCATGGAAATAAAATGAGGTGGGCTGTCTAGACCATGTGCTTGGACTCATTTTGGTCGTTCGCTAGATTTTTCAGCACATGTGAATGTTTATCTCTGCAATGAAGCATACGGGCTGAGCTCCATTAAGTGCTAAAGGGGTGGTCCTTCCTCAATACGGCCAAACGCAAATCAGCACCTCTTTGCCCTTCATATTTTTAAAACTTCTCCCTCATCTTTTATCTGTGTTTATTTCACAGCAACCTACAGTTTTATAACTGTAGAATTCAGTGTATGACGTTCAGAACGTTATTGTCTGAATCTATTAAAAGTTGGTTGTGCTAGAAGTTTAATGCCTGTGTACTAGTATAGCCTAAACTTTTATGTGTGAGTGTTTCACCTGTTGTGAGTGTGTGCCCAACCAAGCGTCATCCTCCGAGGCTGAAAAATGAAGCCAATGCAGAAGTGCTATAAACTGCAGTTCCTCTAATGGCCACTTAAGGCTGGCTGTGAAAGTGAGTCAATCCCCATAGACAACCATGTTAAAACCCAACTTTAAAGCGGAAATAAACATGTTTGCAGCCTGGACAAAGAACTATTTTGGTCTCAACAGCTTATTTCCCTTGCCTGGGACCAGACCCTGAATCCACCCACTCCACTGGGTTTAGAACAGCTGTTTATCAGTAAAAATAAAAAATGACTAATGAGTGCAGCAGGAGGACTCGATTAGCCAATTGGCACCACGGGCGGGATTAATTCTGTTGTTGAGTAGTGCACCAGAAACCAATGAGGAGCAATAACAACAAGGGCGAGCTCTACAGACGAGATAGAGGATGTTTTTGTGGCATTGCTAAATCAACATGTTTTCTTAATATCGCCCCACATCGTAGTTTGTTACTTCACTCCGTTCCACTCTTAAAACTAATGTTGGCATGACTACGCATTAGATTCATGTGGATACATTGGTCTCTAGTGAGTGGTTAGAGAACATCTAAGTTCATCATCAGTACATCAGTTAGAGTGGATGCAATGTTAGACTAAGGATGGAAACGAGTGTAATAAGCTGATAGTTCTGTCTGATATAAGGCAATAATCAGTCTGATCTCAAAGATCAGCATCGGAGCCCGATCTGATCTTTTGTTTTACGTCAGCTGTTGTGTTTTCACTCCTGAAGCTTTCATGCACAGCACAGCATTGAGCTCCCATGCATGAACAGAGGCTGAGCCCCGCCAGCGACAAAACACTACATGCCATAAACAACAGCGAAATGCAGTACGCAACTGTTTATTTATGTTATTTACCAAAGTTATGAGCACTCCTTTTGTTTCAGCACTGTTTCATTTCAGCTCAGTTGCTTGTTGGCGACGGTGCCAACAGAGCCAACGATAAATACACTCACCATGCAACTGGAAATGCAACAAAAGCCACGCAAGCAAAAAGCCATTTAGAATACTTTATTAATTAATCCTCCCAAAATAAGTGAAGACAGAGAAAATAAACACAACAGAACAAAGCTGATTCAGGTAGCAAAGGCTGCGCTGAAGCAGCAAACACTGGAGAATACTGACTCAAAGGGATAGAGAAATTCCAGTCAGTCCAATTCAAAGGCAGTGACATGGCGAAGAATCAGATCGGAACTTGGTATTGACAGATATTTAATATTAAATGACTCAGACTGACATTGGCATTGAATTTTTTAAGGCTTAAAATTATGCCTAATTGAGGGCATGATTGCTTTGAGTGACAGGTTGTCTTTGAGGCGTCAAATCAACCAACTCACTCCTCCAGAGCTCCACCTTCCAGCTATGGGTACTTCTTGCTCCAAAAATCCAAGATGGCGACGGTACAGTGCCAAATTTGAGGCTTCAAAACAGGAGTCCACAAACCAATGGGTGACCTCATGGTGGTTACGTCCATTATTTTATACAGTTTATGGTGCCCACCTACTGGCAGTCCTGTCTGCATCATGTATTTGTGTCTTCTCTGTTATCCCCTTGCGGCCATCCTGAAGCAGACCTCCACATTTGTGATGACGCACTACAACGCAGTACACTGTATAAACACTGGAGACCAGACACCTTATTGTGTAGAGGACCATGTGTAAAAATACTCCGAGCATATTTGGAGAAGCTTTGAAAAAAACGGTTGGGATGGAGTGTGAAGGATGGGTTTCACCAATGTTTAGAGAGCAGGTTTAATTTTGGAAAGGCCAAGCTCTCTTGTCCATCTGCCTGCAGCTTCCTTATTTGATGTTTTTTGAATAAAAATAGAGCTGAGCTTGGTTGAGCTGACTTTTATGTGCATATTCTTCTCAACAGAGAGGTCACTGCTGGCTGGAAACTGGAAACATTCAGCTGTAAAGTTAAATACAGAATATTCCATCAATTATTTTGTTACTTTAGTGAATAATTCACCTGTAATAGATGCTGGAAATCACTGAAGCCGAATTGAAAACATGCACTTATCTCTCTTCTGTTTTGGCATTTACATAGTGCAGAACTAAGAAAACAGCATATTACAGAAGCTCTTTTGTCCTCTAACACTCTAATGTTTTCCCCTCCTCCAGGTATCTGAGGGCTCAGAGGTCCACTTCCAGCCAGGAAACTTCTCCCTCTCCTGCCAGATCCAGAAGGAGACCCTTCCCCATGGCAATGAGCACCTCCTTAACTGGGCCCAGAAGAAGTACAGGGCAGTCACCTCGTTCTCTGAGCTCAGGATGACTCAAGACATCTACATCAAAGTTGGAGAAGGTGTGTTCTAGATTCCCAAAATTCCCAACATAGCTCTCGGCCCCCAAGCCATGCCTCCCTATTCCCCTTCAGCTCCCATAACTGCACTTAGCTTTGTGTTTGAACCAGTTTACATGCACGTCTCTGGGAAAAGAATTTCCTTCCCACAACAGGCATTCACCCTTTCACACAATTTATCAGGCTACCTGTGGTAGCTCTGAGCTGTGGCTGCTTACAGCCCTAAGTTACTGAACCCCAGAAATATATAGAAAATGCACAGATAATGCATTGGAGTATTATGGCTGAACTACAAAAAATAAATCATTGCATGCATTACTCTACATATACCAGTATATATATGTTTTTAACATATAAACAGATACTTTTTCTTTTTTGAGACTCCTCATAATGTTTTTTAAGAGATAGAAGTTGATTAATCAGTTATTCAGAAATTAATCTGCAGCTATTCTGACAATTGATTAATTGTTAAATATCTTTTAGTTCTGGACTGTTGGTCTGACAAAACAAGCAATCTGAATACAGATAATAGGGAATTGTGACAGACTTTTCTGAGTTTTTATAGGCTAGATTATTAACTGATAATGATAAAATAATCTACAGACAAAGCTGAAAATAATTTTTAGTTGCAGAGGTATGTGGCTAATCATAAAAACCTTAACTAATGGCTAACTTAAAGTGGAAATAAACAAGCTGTTTGCTTTAACTTATCATTATGAAGTAAATGTTGATTGCACAATGTAATGGCTAAAGATTAGTGACACTATGATTGTGTAGATTTGTACCCTGTACGCCTTGCTTTCACTATGAATGTCTTTCTGCTGCCGGGAATGATCTTCTGGGAAAATTAAGGCTGTCATTTATGTCACAAAGGAAGTGCATCAACAATTACACAACCAGCTCCATAGAGCGGGCTTGGCTGATAGAGTGTTGGAGGTGTCATGACAAGGATGGCGGTTTAGTGCACATGTTCTGGAACTGTTTAAGTTCAGGAATATTGGTCTGTAATACACACTACAGTGGAAAACATTACTGGCATCAATATTCCATTTTCTCCCAAGTTATTTATTTTGGGAGATCCTTCCTTACTAAAAGATTTGAATCCTCCCTTAGCAGAGTGGATCCAAACTGCCTTTATGTTAGGGAGGAGACTGCTTGTTAAAGACTGGAAAGCATCTGCTGCACCTGCGCCATTCTTGTGGTATACATCTCTTGGGCAGTTGGCTGCTTTTGAGCGCCTATCATACAGATTGTTGGATAAGGTGGGGAAATATGATTTGAAATGGAGAAAGTACCACACCCATACGTTGGGGTCTGAAAGTGTGTCCAGCTCATAAATAATTAATTGTATATTCTATGGTGTAAACTTGTATGATGAAATGTATACATGTATGATATTGCTGCGAACTAATTTACTATGTACTCTGCACAACTCAGCACTAACCTGTTTTGTTTTTTTAAATTAATGAATTAATTAATTTATTTTTGTTCTTATTGGTTGTAGTACATTTTTGTTATCTGCTCTTTCTCGCCCCACAAAAAAAAACAACAACAATTACACAACAAAATCAGGAAGAGGAAAGCACCTTTTCCCCCTGTTAGATATCGATAGCTATCCCCAGTTACCAAAGGCTGTCAATGTAAACTCTCAGTCACTATCTTCAGTGGCAGAAATGGCAGGTGGTGAAACAGCTAACGTAAATGTAGAAAACAAAATGCAGTGTGTCCTGTATTTGTTGTTAGTTGCTAGTTCCTGAGGAACATTGAAAGCCATCTGATTGTCTTTGCAACAGTGGTGCCAACAATAATATCACTTGAAGACACTAGATGAGTAAAAGTTAGAAAGTTTCCTTGTAAAACACCAACAAAAGTGATTTTTTTAGATTTATATTATGCAATATTCATATCCCTGTATGCTGACTGGTCGTCTTCTTCATCACTACCTTTGCGGGAGCATTGCTATGCTGATATGTATGATAGCGCCACCAACTGTCAAACAGAAAGTGTGAAACAAGCATTGAGAGTGTGTTGTGTCGCTTGTGTACGTGCGTATCTTAATGCGCATGCATGATACAAACACAACAAGGAAACACTCATTAAAAAAAAATTGCTTTGTAACACCTTTAGAGGTCAAAAATTCCTTAGGGTATGTTCCACATAATGGATGACATTACAGCATAACTGTCTGTAATTAATGTGTGTAGGGTACTGTCAGTCTTGAGACCATTCAGATTTAGTTTTTGTTTTTATGTATGAATGGATGTGTGATAGTGTGCTAGTCAGAGATAAATTGAGATGCGGAAATTGTAGAGACTAAAAAATGAAGCCAGGACAGTGATCTGAACAAAAAGTGTGAAATAGGCAAATTGGTATTTAAGACTTTGGAGGGTGAATTTAGTTTTTGGACAGCTTGTCAGATCATCTTTGACAGAATCTTATCCCTTGATTCAAATCCACGGAAATGTCTATCATTTGTCTCTTTTGCCAAGTGGTCTGACCTCCATTATTCTCACAAATATGACAATAATAAATGTACAACATCTGGTGGAGAGCATATATAGGTTGACGAAACATCAGATGGAAAAAACCCAAGGTAAGCAGAAGATAAACTATCGCTTTCACTTTTTTCCAATAAGTAAGATGAGGGGGAGTTTGGGTAAAGTGAGGAAGCTCTAGGAGATTCTCAGGGGAAGCTGTGATTGATCTTTATACGTTTGAGCTGCAGACTTTTGATTCTTCACTCTCCACTGGCCATACATGCACTGAACAGACAGCACGTCCAACTTCAAATGCATCAGCTCTCAGACAGGACATCTTGTTTTTAACGAGCATCTTTCAGCACATGGAAATAAAGCAAAGCTCATGTCTGGAGAGAAGTAATGGCACCACTACTGCCGGTGATAAGTTCTCTCTCTGTGTTAGTCGCTGTGGAGTGGTTGCTCAGCCTGCAAGTGTTTGGCTTGTGTCATTAGGGGGCTGTGGTTTGGCAAAAGCCCAGAGTGCCATGATGTTTACTTCAAGCAAAGAGCTGTAGATTTCCACTCCTCCACATTGTCAGTGGTGTTTCATGAAGATGGACAGATTCTCACTTTGCTTCCTAACCAGGCTCGTATACTCAAGGTCTCCCCTCAGCTCTTTAAAGTGCCACAAAGGTTCCGGAAAGGAAGGTGCCAACCTTCAGTTTACACTTTGTCCTTGGCTCTGTTTGCCAAATAAGGAAGCAGCTGTCTTGTGTTTTCTCTGAGTGCTGAGAAGGGGTGTAACTTTTTACTTTCTAAAGGTACTTTATGAGCAGTTTGCGAATTTTTTGAACAGTCATGCATGTGAAGGAAAAAACACTAGAAAGTTTGATAAAATGTGTTTATGAATATCATTGTCCTGTTATTGTTGAGGGATTCTGGTGAAAACCTTTGCATGGTTTTCCCACGTAAAATCCAAAAGAGTGATTTCCCTGTTGATAAGAAGACAGGTCATGCCAATCAGAGCACACTCAACCTCATCCAACAAGGGGCCTAGTTAGCTCTGCGACAATAGGTATACCAGCTGCAGGGCTGTGTGATAAAGTGAGCAGGAAAACTGTTCCTCAGCTGAAACGGCTCGGTCAAAGCAAACATCCACCCTACTGAAGTCTCCGTGACAGGACATTGAATTCCTCCCAGAAGCAGGGGGTACTGTTATGCAGCTGACCTCGTGCTGTGACCTCTCTGTGGTGCAGGGTAACAAAAAGCCGTATTTCTCCTTTGGGGGATTAAAATAGCCTTACAGAGCCCCTGACCAGTAACATAAATATCTCTCCGCTTTCAGATCCACTGTTTTCTGACACCTGCAAAATTGATACCAAGTTCCTGTCTCTGAACTACCTGGGCGGCTACGTGGAGCCACAGGCATCAAAGGGCTGTGTACTGTCCGGACCCGACAAAGACCAAGAAGTCCACATCATCGAGCTCCAAGCCCCCAACTCCAGCAGGTGAGCAGCCAAGAAAACATGTTGTCATAGTTTCATTTTGAGGTCAAGATGCTCTCACTAATCTCTGAGGATTAGTTTTGGATGGAAACTCCCATGAAGGCGAGTTGGGGGTCACTTAGTGGTGTTGTTTTGCGAAAGATATTTCAAAACTGGGTCTCAAAGTCCAGGTTGCCAGATAATCATCTCACTCCCCCAGTGGAGTGATTACTCTGTATGCCCAAAAGACTACAAATCTGGGAATTTGTTGCGCTGTATCTCACTCCAGTGTTATCAGGTCTGTAGTGCACATGTCTGCTTTTTTTCTGGGAATGCATCCAGCTTTTTAATTAGTTGGCCAGACGCAGAAGGCACGATAACACTACGTACTGTAGACCTAACCGTCCAAAATTTTTGGTCTCTCCCTCTGTGCAGTGCTTTCCAGGTGGATGTCATAGTAGATCTACGGCCTCTGGAGGACGATGCCCCTCTGCATCGTGACGTCGTCTTGCTGCTCAAGTGTGCCAAGTCTGTCAACTGGGTCATCAAGGCCCACAGTGTGATTGGCAAGCTGGATGTAGTGGTAAGCTAGCAGCATGAAAACAGACAAAAGCTTTCCATTCATCTCTTATTCTCCTCTGCTGACTTCACCACTGAGATTTTATATCATCTTATCACACATCACAGTAGCTCACAAGTCATGTCGCAGACAGAAATGTCAGCACTTTGCACCAACAACCAAAGAATTTGTCACACCAGAAAGTGTGTTGAATTGGCGCCTGGTCCCGCGCTGCAGGAGAGGGTGGGGATAACAGGTTAGGAGGAACTGTGACATTTCATCGTGGCAGCTCCAGGGATTGTCATCACATTCAGAGAACCAGGCGCAGCAGTGGTAGGGGCATCACATATTTTCAGAGCCAAGGCTACTACAGTACTCCAGCTGCACATAAGCTGCTTCCCATCAGTCACAATGTGAATTATGAGCCACGCCTACTTTGGGCACTTTCTTAAGCAGCGAGCTGTTAGGGCCTCCTTGCCACACACAAAAGACAAACACTGGCTAATTACTGCAATATATCAGAATGCCCTTTATTGGAACTATGGTTTTATACATATCAGCGCTGAGTGTGAGTACACAGTTTTGATATTAAATCTTCATTACTGTTACTCAAGTCTCTCAGGACTCTTAGAAACTATAAGAATATGACACCTATGTAAACTTTGGAAGAATAGTTTAACTGTAGATCATGTCGATGGGGAATTGGCAGTAGTCCAACCACTGAAATTGCTCCAGGGATGACATTTTAAACCCTGAGTAAAAAAAAGTCGGTGCATTAGGACCGAAAGAGACTCGCTAATGTTGTGCATTTCTCAAAATATTTCATTTGTCTCGTGACATTTGGTATTTATGGTATGACAGACCCATCAGTTGTATTGTGTGCACCTCTCTGCTCTGTTAACCCTGTACTGATTTCAGTGGAGGTGAGTGAGGGGTTCTGTGTTTCCTTACTGTGTAATGCTGATACTCCTGCAGGGCTGCTGCAGCCATGACACTGCACCTTTTTTCCAGGCGCAGTGTGTTTGTACAGCTGCCCGGTCACTGCTGTACAGTAAGTCAGTCAGGTTGTGTGAGTGTGATGCCAGGTCACAGCCTGTGGTACTTACATCAGCACAAACGGATTGTAATGCCTCTGGTGGAAGTTGGTGGATGATTTGTGTTTTCTTCTATCCACTCAGATCATTTTTAGCCATGCTGGATAATTTTTAGAATGGCTCATGGGTTGCAATGTTGGCCCGTTGGTCAGTGCGTCCACCAGCAGCTACTGGATGGATTGCCAGGAAATTTGGTAAAGACATTCTGTGTCGCCCTCGGGATGAATTATTATAACTGTGGTGATCCCTTAAAGAGAAAGTGATGTTTTTTTCAACCCCGTATTTTTATCTAAGTGACTAACGGGAACAACAATTTTTTAAATTGGTCCAGTATTTAGGGAGAGAGCTGCAGCCAGCAGTGGTGTAACAGGCTGCAGTGTAACCACCCTGGGCATTTGGCACCGTAAATTTACATCCATGAAAAGTGTGCCATGAATCAGTATATTTGCCCCCAGTTTTTAATGCCCTTTTTGTGCCTTTGACACAAACGTTCACATGGAATTAAGAATGAACTGATTAGATATTGGTGGTCGTAGGGCAAACGTCAAGGTCACTGTGACCTCGTCTGTCTCATTCTGGTGAATGCCATATATCAAGAACACCCTAAGGGAATTATTATTTATTTATTTTTTTTCAAATTTGACTCAAACATCCACTTGGAGTCACGGATGAACTAATTAGATTTCGGTGGTTAAAGTGGTTAAAGGTCGAAGTTACTGTGACCTTGTCAGTCTTATTTACATAAACGCAATGTATCAAGAACACCTTGAGGGATTTTTTTTTTTTCAAATTTGGCACAAACTTCCACATTTAGTCAAGGATGAACTGATTAGATATTGGTGATTAAAGGTCAAGGTCACTGTGACCTTGTCTGTCTCATTCTCGTGAACACAATATCTCAAGAACACCTTGGAGGAATTTTTTCAAATTTGGCACCAACGTCCACTTGGACTCAACAATGAACTGATTAGAAATTGGTGTTCAAAGGTCAAGGTCACTGTGACCCCATCAGTCAGTCTCATTCTCGTGAACACAATATCTCAAGAACACCTTGGGGGCATTTCTTCAAATTTGGCACCAACGTCCACTTTCTGTCACAGATGAACTGATTAGAATTTGGTGGTCAAAGGTCAAGGTCACTGTGACCCCATCAGTCCCATTCTGGGGAAGGCAATATCCCAAGAACACCTTAAGGGAATTTGGCACAAACATCTAATTGGACTCAACAATGAACTGATTAGAATTTGGTAGCCAAAGGTCAAGGTCACTTACACTTTGAGGGAGTTTGGACTCAAGAATGAACTGGTTAGATTTTGCTGGTCAAAGGTTGACGAAATTTCACACAAATTCCTAACAGAATAAAATGTTGAAATGATGACATTTTATATCCAAAAAAGGTCAACTTCACCGTGACATCATAATGTTCTGCAAAACCACTTTTCTGTCCATTATTCAGTGTCATATCTCAGGAACAGAAGGGGAGACATTTGGTCAGATACTGAGTTGGTGACATTGATCTTGGGTGTCCAACTTGAAACTGTGCTGATTGTACAGATCTTCTGTGCTGCTGGGGTAAAGATGTGTGCGAAGCATCCATGTTTTCAGAGACATGGATGTTAACTGTACGTGCAACGTCGTTTAGTCACACTTGTTTTAACTTGTAACAAATTAATATAAATTTTAAAAACCATTCATGAGTTTTGTAAATGTGATTTTTTTTCTTTTATCACTCATTCGTTTTGGTGACATTCTAATATGACCTCTTCAGGACTCTGAACTCAAAGTTTGGGACCTGGGACTTGTCTTGGGACTTGAGTGCAACACTTGAGATTTACGTGACTTACAAAACTATGTCTTGATCCCACCTTTTTGTTCCCACAAGCTGACACTTTGACTTTTATTTGACAGCAGTGGCACACAGGATGCTGTGCTTGTGCAACCAGTGTTTGGGAGCATGTCAACTATTTATGTGATAGGATGGCCTCGTAAAAAACAAAATCTTGCTCCTGTCAGAAAGCAGGTTCTCCTCGGCGTTGCTCAAGAGAGATGAATGTGTGGGAAACGGCTGTGAGAACGAATCGTTACTCCCTCACACAGGGAGGGTATGCTGTAGGGCAGGACACGAATTTTAAGAGTAAACTAACATGTTGGTTTCACAGCATTGATTGAGGGATGACACACCCATGACCTCACACTCATACATATGATTCACACTCAGTGCAGCATGAGAACAGGACTGTACTTGAAATGGAATATCTGCGGAGTAGTAAATCATGTCCTCTGTTTCTGAAGATCTTAAAGGAGCTTACACAAATGTATGATCTTCTAGAAATGCCAATTTGTTCTTTTTGATGGAAAACATACACTAAGACAAGATATATGACGTCTCTGCTTTCTTTTCCACAGGCCTCTGATACCGTGAGTGTCAGCTCAAATGTGGAGAGACTGATGCAAGTGTCAAAATCCCCTAGGCAGCACTTGCCATCAGGGCCACAAGCACTGATAAAGTGGGCAGGGGAGCATGGCTACAGCCCAGTCACGTCTTACACCAACACTCCTGTGGCTAACCACTTCAATATCCGACTTAGAGAGCCAGGTAAACTGAAGAGACATCCTCTGAATTCAGTCATACTGAAGCAGAAATTGCGTGCTCAGTTTAATGATAGCAAGAATACCATGTGTGAGACATACAATTTAGCAGCTGCTACAATTTCAAGACTAATATTGCGCATTTCACGGTCATTATAGAGAGACGAGCGTGAAATTGTGAAATGGTTTTATAGTCGCAGTCCTGTGTAATTTCCCTGCCTGTTAAATCAGCCTCATGAGGTTTCAACAATGTGTGACTTCCAGATGTGGTGGATCCTCTGGAGAGCATGTTGCCTCCAGAGCTCTCCATCCTGCGCGACTCCAGTCCTCATCCAAGAGCAGGAGCTGTGACACGGCACTCCAGCCTGCCCTTTCCCTTCCCTCCATCTGTGTCTGACGGCCTACCCTACCTGCCTCTGTCCCCCTCCCTCGACGACCGGCCCTGGGAGAATGGAGAGTTCGAGGAGCACCAGGGCATTCTGAGTGTTGGCCTCAGTGTGCAGTGTGAGGACACGAGGATGGTGGTCAGCATCGACAAAGAAAGCCTGCAGGTGAGTGGACAGCAGGATTTCATCCATCATGGAGCCTACCTAGAAACATATCAGGCTGCAACAAATGATTATTCCAGATGGTTTAGTTTTATTTTATTCCAGCATGCAACAAGTATAAATAAACACAACTTTAAAAAATGCAAAAAAACAGAACCAGAAACACAAACTATCCCTGAATAGCATGTAACATAAGATGCCGCAAATAAATTGATTATTTATCAGATATTTGTATTATTGAAATTATTTACTACTAAAAACATTAATTTCATTAATTTCATTTTTTTAATAACATGAACAAGCAGATCAGAGCAAAGGTAGCTCTAACCAGCACATTATAGGTATTATATTTGAAACAAATAATTAGGGGTGGGTGATATATCTATTAAACTCAATGTATCACAGCTTGTTGCACATGGGATGGATAAAATGATAAAATTGGAGAGCAGTTAGTTTGCTTCCCAGCCACAGTGAATAAATCCTCGCATTTCACAACAGCACCACACGGACAGTTTAACTTTCCGCTAACTGCTAACAGCTGACTGTTGACTAAAAGCTTCAAGTTCACAGCAAAAACTTCAACACTTCCTATTTGATCTATTCCATTCTAACAATACTGTATTTAACTTTATTTCAACATTTCTTTATTTAACTTTATTTCAACATTTCTTTATTTAACTTTATTCTAAAAGTACTTTATTAAACTTTATTAAAACTACTTTATTGAACTTGATTATTATAGTACTTCTAGAGACAATACTAGAATAATATTTAACTTTATTATAATAGTACTTTATTCAACTTAATTGTAACAGATCTTCATTTAACTTTATTATAACAATAGTTTAACTTTACTATAAAAGTACTTAAGCATTATTTCAGCATTTATTTAGTATTTCAGCATTAATTTATTATCACAATACTTTATTTACCTTTATTATAACACCTCACTTTTAAAGTTAAATAAAGTATTGTGATAGTCAAGTTTTAAAAAGTACTATTATAAGTAATTTAAATAAAACACTGTTCTAATAAAGTTCAATAAAGTGCTGTTTTAATAAAGTTAAATTTGTAATCTTTATTAAAACAATACTTTTTTAAACTTTGTTATAACATCTTTATTTAACTTTATTATAATAGTACTTTAACTTTGTTGTTAAAATACTTAAGTTACTAGTTTACTGTAGTATTTTAGTAGTGCAGAGTAGTTTAGCGGATATTATTATTTCTAAGCCATATTGCCCATAATCAAATTAAATAAATACATCTTCTGTAGATTAACTAACGAATTGTTAAAGCACAGAAACAAACAGTTGAGAAATGTCCCACTCCAATGTTAAACAGACAGATAGACAGTTTTGTTTCCCAACCAGACTTTGTCCAGTGTCATTGGTAATTTGGATTGCGATTGAAGACGCACATCTGAAAATTGTTTGACCGTATGATCGGTCACATTTGCTTTTGAGTATTTTGTTTTTTCATCTTTGCTCTTGCGACACAGACTTGATGTGACAAACTGTGACAAGAGGGACAGAAAACAACAAGCACAGAGGACACAGAATACCAGTGTCAAGAGCAATTAGTGGGATAAATGAAAGTCTTCTGCTCTGCTCTTAACAAATGCCAAAATAACATTCATGTTGCTAGGTTTTTAATATCTGAAAAGTATCTTTTGTGTGCATGTATGTATTATATCAAAGTGGACATTATGGTAATGATAGCAAATGAAGAAACTGTCCTAATACACACATCTATAGCTCATTTGTGGGTTAATATCTTGGCCTTCAGCTGCAGAGATCAGTTTTGCCTGCTGCCATGATAATTGCCATACTTAAGGAAAACCTGGTTAAACATCCGCAAAAGTAAAACAAAGAGAAATACTGTTAAGTAAATACTCTTAAGCGTCCCTGTTATACACAGGCTGACATTGAAGCAAGTGGGACTTTTCCCAACATTTGCCGTCTGAGCGCGGGAATGGCACACACAGCCCACATCACAGAATGGAAACTGGCATAGACTGTAATTAGGAGAAGCTGAGGCTGGAGCTAGACCACCTTGTGGGATTTGTTTATTCCTGGGAACTCAAAGTCTCACACAACCACTTTTTTTTTTAATTCCAAAAATGAGCTAATAAAGGAAAAGTTTTTTTTAAATCTTTTTCCAATGTTGCAGTTTTTTTATGTTTCCTCAGGCGAACGGGTATGCTCATGCCAACCTCACGCTCCAAGACCCAGCTTGCAAAGCAACAGTCAATGCCACCCACTACACACTGGAAACTCCTCTGACTGGCTGTCAGACCACCGTATATCCCATGCAGGGCAGTCCAATGGCCCTTTACATCAACTCTGTGAGTACAACACCTATTATTATGCTAAAACAAGTCATGTCAATAAAGCTGGTTTACCTGAACCATAAACAGTGGCCACCTAGATTATAATGTAAATATAAATGTGGAAACAAACACTGTCTTTTAAGTTAAGCTGAAATTTGCTTTTTTGTTTGTTTTGACTTGTTTACTCGTAGAGGTTATTAAAGAAGTGGATGTAGCCCACACGTTTGTAAAGTGAAGCCCATGTGAAATTGCCTTAAACACATAGGTATTACAGAACAGGCCCAAGGCTTTAGGGGGCCCATAAGTCAGAGCCTCTGCGTGAAGTCACTGTCATTAACTTTGCATTTCTTATCAAAGGGCTCAGTCATCATGCCAATAACAGAGCCCCAAAAGTCCTAAAAGAGAAAAACTGAAGGAAAAGCCTAAATGTTCACTTTGAAGATGTCACAAGAAAGAAACCATCATGATGCAGTCTGTTTTAAGTACTGGAGAGCACCTTTTACTGGTTAAATTGTAGCTCATTTCGAATGTTATATGAGCACTGTTCCTATGGTGGCAAGTTTGCATACATTAGTTGACTGTAAGTGCAAAATTAAAGGATGTTTTGCTGTCTTTTCATCTTCGCTAGTTAACAGTTAGCTAGCTGAAGACTGGAAAAAAAGAAACCAACAAAAATTCACGATGCTGCTCAAAGGCTACCACCAGGATCTATAGATAACTTTGAAGATGCAGTGTTACTCAATGCATCAGTCAGCCATTCCACTTGTTTTTATTATCGTTATTATTGCATGACATACGTTTTAGTGATTATCGAATGTTCAAGCATTAAAAAATTGTATATGAATTTTGCAAACTACAAATATTGTATTTCCACTCTTGGAGAGAAAATCCTCCTTAGCTCCATACTCTCATCCAAATATGGTCACTTCTGGCTCCAAAAAACCAAGAGGGCAACTACCAAAATGCCAAACATAAGGACTAGGAAGCGCACCAGGCTTTGAAGCCAATTTTTGCAGAGTGGAATTACAGCTCCCGAGTTCGTCATGTGATGTCATTGGGCCCATAAAGAGTTTCCTATCGTCTTACATTGAGAAAGAGATGTCTGTAAATCACAATCCCATGCGAAACTACTTGTTTTACTCTCACGATTTAATCCATTTGGTCTGATAACATTTTGAAAGTCTAGAACAGCTGCAAGGTTAAATCATTTTATACCCATTCAAGTTAGCAGAGCACTAAACCAAAAGTAGCCATGTTGGTTGGCGGAAGTCTCTAGTGTGTCTGCTCGATGGGCCCAGTGATGTGGAAGCAGTGCCGATCATCCAGGTAATTTCATACCATGGAAAAAGAGCTTTTTGGCTTCAAGCTCCACTGAGCAACTTTCATAGGAAGGACCAGGGTCCCGCTTTCAACACTCCATTCAGGTCTCATAATTCATCCATGTTCAAAATGGGAGTGACGTCACAGTGGCTATGTCCACTTCTTTTATACAGTCTAGTAAATACTGATGAGAGGAGGCTTTATTTATTTTTGTGCGGGGATAGCACCTTCTAAATTAGCATTACTGTTTGCCTTTGCTAATGCTAACAAGGCTAACTAGCTAGTTTGCACAGCTTGTGAGCTTTCATTTTCTGAGTGGAACACAAACATCTTAAATCACAGATGGTAAACAAGCAAGGCTTTGTGGGCTTGTTAAAACAGAGAGAGAAAACATCTTGAATCAATGTTTGTCAGCTATTTATGGCTATGATGTGCTTCAGTTAGTAGTTGACAGCATGTTTCGTAGCAACATCAGCAGTCAGATCTCAGCCAGCTGATAGGAAACACAATCCTTTCTCCACAAATTGCTTTATACAAATTGTTTTTTGGATAAATAGAAAATAGAATAATACGATTAATTCAAAGTACATTTGCACGTATTGCTGAACAGTGTGGGAGTGTTTTTATGGGACTCAGCATTCACATCTGACATCTCCACTTGTCTTCATTATTATGGAATGCATTCATTCAGCATGTTTGTTCTAACAAGCAAGGATGAATCACTTCCTCCCCAACCTTTTGAGATCTTTTGTGGGGGAAATTTGGAACAACACATTTTCTGTCCAATGCAGATTGAAAACCCGGGCACACGTCCAAGGTTGCCTTTTGTGTTAGCAGTTGGATGCAGGGATAACCTCTGACCCCAGTCAAAAGAGATAAAATTTCATTGTTTGGGTCCCAACACATCAAAGATAATCTGCTCTAGCTGTTGTTGTTTCTCCGATCTTGTGACATGCTGATTTAATTCGGCAGTGGCACCAGGGACAGGTCAACTAATTTGGTGCAGACTCAAGAAAACACTCTTGGTGTCAGTGAGATTGTCCTCTCACCTCATTAAATCAGACTTTTCTTAAAGCGGCATGTACTCATGTCAGACCCCTGACATTCTTCTACTCTACTGAGAAATTAAAAGTATGTTTTTATGTTTTTGTCCAGGACGAGTCCCACTGCTGAAGCCACAGGACATTCCCACATTTTAAATCCAACTCATAGGTTGCAGAATGTTTTGGCAACCCCTCTCAAAGATTCGAATCTCTGTGTTAAGCAACACTACTCACAACTGGACCTTTTTAAAGAAGAAAGTCTGGAAGGGATTCTTCTTTCACTTACTAAGTGATGTGGCTCAGGCTTTGTGACTGATGGACTCCTCTGTGGATTGCAGGTCCTGATAAGTCATGCTGAGACTAAGGATGGGAGTGGTGGGCCGCTGGATTATGAGGATCTGGAATCTGGAGACGTGCTGTTCCCGAGGGACCCAGTTGAGAGGACACTTACGGAGGCCCCAGAACACCAGTCAGTCATAATGGTAAGACAGTGGAATCATTGTGGTTCTGCCTCTGTGAGAGCTCAATCTCATTGCAGGGTGAAAGTTGACAAGTCAAGATCAATTATCATCCACATCTCTATGTAAATCATACAGAGTTGGAAGAAACTCTATTTCCCAGAGTCCCTTGGTGCACGTAAAGGCTCATCTGGTTTCTGCAATCTCCGTCTTTCCATGATGTCTGTTTTATGAACTTGACCTGACATTTTCCATTTTGAAGTTGCTCCATCTCCTTCCCTCTACGGACTTATTTTCCTTTGTCTCATCCATTCCTTGCCTCCCACTTATTGTTCTTGTTTATACAGTATCTCTTATGTTCCTTCCCCCGTTTTCTGATCCATCTTTATGTGGTCAAACGCTGACACACAGTCTTGCAGGGTTGAGGATGCTTAGCAGTGGAATCAGATGTCAGATCCCTGCTGATATTTGTGTTGGCTTATGTCTTATTCTCCCCCTAGTTCAACTGCACGTACCGAAAGAGCCAGGAAACCTCGGTGACACTTCCCAGGATTGTACCAGGACCAGGAAGGCAACCAGTCAGCAACACGACATTTAACATGGAGCTGTACAACACACTGCCGTTCAACAATCCTTCACGCCAGGCCTTCTTCACTGTTGCACAAAAGCAGGACGTTTTTGTGGAGGTAATCTTTGCACTTCTAGTATATTACTTTTTATTTATGAGTGTGTGTTTTGCAGTTTAGTGCAGTATTAGTCTCATGGAAGTTGTGTTTTTGTTCCTAAATTAAAACTTTAGCAAGAAAACTTTCCTTTGTGTACTCTCTGTCTGGGACTTAAGCCCTCCCTGCTTTGATCTCCTGGTGCAGCATCCACAAGGCCGATTTGTATTTTGTCTAGTTGGGGCTAAAAAGCTAATACTTGCTTTCACCCCTCTTGTTCTTTGTATCTCCTCTCGACATGTCTCTGTATCCTGTCTGGCTGAATCAAAATCCTTGTTTCACAACAGTAACTACGGAGGTCATGTAAGAGATGGCAAAGGCTCACACTCTGAGCTCCTCTGACAAAATGATTTATGATGATATCAGCGGGAGGTGCTACGCTGACAGCATGGATGCAGAGCCAGCTGGTTACAAAGGATTTTCTGTATGCAAGACCAGTCCAAAAGAAGAAAAGAGGAGGAACTCAGGGGATGATTATGGATGAAAAGATATTACTTGTAACTAGCTGTGACTGAAATATTACTTAAAGAAATTTGTTTCACTTGACATAGCTAATGTTTAAAACAAACAGTTGTTATCCATCCAAGCAGCATTCATTCTGAGTCCTTTTTTTATGTCCACCTGATGAATAAAATCCAATATCCACTCTCCCTTTAGATCTGGTTTCCAGCAACTCCTGAAATAAAACCATAAAACCAAAACAATGAGTTGAAAGATGCTAAAAAGGACAGTTTAGCCCCAAATCAAAAATACACACAAGTCAGCTATGGTGACGTCTGCCTTCTCTCCAGTAGAATGGAACTAGACGGCACTCAGCTTGTGGTGCTCAAAGTGCCAAAAAAATAATTTGAAAAACTCAAAAGCAATGTCTCTTCCCAGAAATCATGACTCAGTTGGTCAAGATAATCCACAGACTTTGTTGTGAGCAGTTTCATGTAGGAACTATTTTGTCTCTACTGAGCTAAACCCACCATGCAGAAGGAAGTGTGCATCTGCTCATGGGCGAGAGGCTCGTGCTTGTGACGGTGCAAGATGTAAACATTATTGGCGTCCTTCTTGGCTGAATGAGCCAAGAACTGTCCCTCTAAAAGCTTTGTAAAGCTAATGGAAACTGGGATTGTGACCATGAGAAACCACTTCCACTTTGTATAATATCATTTGATCCATTGTTAATATAAAGTTATTGATTAGTGCAGCTCTAGAGGAACAGTTTGACATTTTGGGAAATTAGCTTATTAGCTTTCCTGCTGAGATTTAAGCCCCTTTTACACTGCTTGTTCAAGGTGGGAATGTCTCGCCGTTGTTCCATGTCGCCCGTCTTTATTAAAGGTATGATCACAGAATTGGGGGACAGAGTTGCCTCGCCTTTAAGCTGGCAACAAAGGTAGTTAAAGCGCCGCATTGACATCTGTGTAAAAGGGAGAGCAGGCAGGAAGGACCCATGGCAAAAAAGCAGCTGCTAGCAGTTAGCAGCTAACTCAAAGAAGAAGAACGGCAGCCATTGTGCCATTATGCCATTGTTATAGTTTATAAAGCAGTGTCGGCGCATATTTTAGATGTCAAACTAGAGGCTGATGCTGTTGTCTTATGTGTCATGCCCGTCACGCCTCTTTTGCCTACGGGCTGCCTGCAGGCTGTCTAAAATCACACACTGGAGCAACGTCATGCCTCAGTCGTTTTGTTTTGTGTAACCCACTCTAAAGTGGGTGTAAAATGGCAATGTTCTGTATAAACTGAAGTATAAGAGCAGGATGATTGATGGCAGTGCTTATCAGATTCATCAATCACAACTCCAGTCTTAGACTTGGACAAAGAGGCTCAAATGACAAATGATAAATGATCCATGTATTTGAAGAATAAATGTTGTTTTCTTCTCTATTCTCCCCTTAGGTCACATCAACCACATCAGATCCAGAGCTGGGGTTCACCATCATATCCTGCTTCATTTCTCCCAACTCCAACCCCAGTGTGGCCTCAGACTACACTCTCATTGAGACGGTCTGCCCCACAGACAACTCTGTCAAGTACTATCCTCAGAGGGACTTCCCTGCGGAGAAGAAAATTTTCAGCTTCAACTTCAACTCAAAGTTCAACATGTCCCTGCTTTTCCTGCACTGTGAGATGTCTCTGTGCTCCAAGAGACCTCTGAGCAGCCAAGGACTCTCGAAGGTATGCAGTATACGCTTCTTCAAATTCTTTTGTGTGTTTAATGAAGCATCAAAGTCTTTTAGTCTATCCAGAGGTATACAGGATGAGTAGTATTGTTTTTTGAGATTTTTACTCTTGCTGAGCCGAGTCATTCAGTATCAGGTCTGAACCCAATGCTAAGCAGGAAACATGAATCAGTGTAAGGTTTGCCAAGTATCCAGCTGCAGAACAAAATAAGCATCCGTCTTAGGCATCACTTTCATTTTTCTCTGACTGTGTTATCAGTCCAACTCATGAAGTCTCTTGCGAGCACTTTCCCCTACTTTTTCACTTCGTCACTTTTAAATGATTGTAAGAAAGTTGTGATTTAGAAGCTAATTGTTATATTCTGATTCTGATCAGGGTCAGGAATGGGCTCATGAGTTAGTCATTTGTTTAATTTCCAAGTTTGGGTCAGGTTTGACAGAAGACATTTACTCAAGGTTGAGAAATGTGAATGGTTGCTTTTGGTTTTACAAAGCCTTTATTTGTCTATTTTAAAAAATTGTGGCGCATAAAAGCTTTATGACAGAGTGGCATGTTTCTTTTCGTTGGATTTCTTCACTTAAAATTTTGTAAATTCTGCCCACACAGTGCATACAGCCCGGTGAGCCCTGCGATTCTCTTGGTCTGGACAGTATCATGACCATGATGCTGAACACCAAGACGTCTACCAAGCCGCTGGTTGTGGTGGATGGATCTGGTCCCCGAGGTGATGCAGGTTAGTTATGACACCTAATTTATGACGTGAGTCCAGCCTGAAAACGATGGGCTTAAAAGCTTGTCAATCTCATCCATGTTTTGGTTTTATCAGCACTACACATTACGAATTAAGCTCTCATTTCTTTTGTTTTGAATGTTAAGTGTGATAAGGAGACTGGAGTAAAGAGAGAAGCAGGTCTGAGGGCGGAGGGGCCAGAGAAAGCTCGGTCCGATACTTGGAGATTAGACCAAACCGCAAAACACTACGCATCACTTCCCCACATCTGGTCATCATTAACTGCAGTGTGTGTGTGTGCGCTGTGTGTGTGATTGTGTATGCACATTTTGTGTGCGCATTTGTCTATTTACATTAACGTCTGTACACAAGAGTGTGTTTTTGGGTGTGTGTGTACATACTAGCATGTGGTTGACTGCAGTAAAGGGGAGTGTGCTAAAACTGAGGCCCAGTTCGGCTGCTCTGGACCAGTCCATGCTGAGGGAGAGGTGGAAAAAAAGGAGTCATACAGCACTGAGTTCCAGTTGTTTTCAGTTACGGCCTTCACTGTGGCCTCCCCTTTCCACTAGAGAGGGGGGAAGAAGGGAGGGGTGTGTGTGTGTGTGTGTGAGGGTAGTGGAGGTCCTCTTGTTGGCTTTGGGAGTCCAGCCAGAGCCTAAAGGCCCCTCGATCATCACTTGTTTAGTCACTCATTCAATCGCTTGCTGTATTGTCTCATGGGTTGCGAGTGTGATCAGAGGGAGGGATCAGCGTGCAGATGTGGGGGAGGCCTGAGGTAACCACGACAACTGTCACATTTGACTAATTATGAAATAAACTGAGATGGGGTGATATCATGAGTGCCCAGTCTCTGGTGAACTGCCACAGCTTTTCAAATCAGCATCCCCTCTGAGCAATGACATCAACAAGAGACCCGTGGTCAGTTTGAGTCAACTTTATTGACTCATGAATTTAATACAAATCACATCATTTTAATCAATGTAAGCTGGAGCCTGACTGATATATCAGCATGGCCGATATTGGCCTATATGAATGTATACTAAGCAGGATTTCCCTAAAACAAAACATATAGACTCATACAAAAGTAATTCCTCTTAATCATCACTGATGACCCACTCTCTGTGTGCGGTGGTGTATTTATCTTTGGGTTGTCCGTCCATAAGTACGTCTGTCTGTCCCCTTCTTGTGAACACGATGTCTCAAGAATGCCTCAAAGGTATTTATTCAAATTTAGCACAAACATCCACTCACTTAACGATGAACTGACTAGATTTTGGTGTTCAAAGTTCAAGGTCCTTGTGACCTCATGTTTCAACTCAATTGATCAATTTCAACCCAAATTCATATGCTGATTGTGACAAAATTTTACACACATCTCTAAAAGGATAAAATGATGATGTTATGTCATTTTACATCCAAAAGGTCAAAGGTCAGCGTCACTGTGACATCATAATATTCTGCAAAAAAACTTTTCTGGCCATTACTCTGCATCATATCTCAGGAACAGAAGGAGAGACATTTGGTCGGATACCGAATAGGTGACACTTATCTTTGGTGTCCACCTTAAAACTGTGCTGATTGTATGGAGACGGCACGGTGGTGCAGTGGTTAGCATTGTCGCCTCACAGTCAGAAGGTTCTACAGTGAAAGGGAATGGGGGTTTGAATTGCATGTTCTCCCTGTGTCAGTTTTCTCTGGGTACTCCAGCTTCCTCCCACAGTCCAAAGACATGAAGGTTAATTGGTGACTCTAAATAGCCTGTAGGTGTGAATGTGACTGTGAATGGTTGTCTGTCTCTATGTGTTATGTAATAGTCTGGTGACCTGTCTGCCTGCCCAATATGACCTGGGATAGGCTCCAGCCCCAGTGTGACCCCTAACAGGATAAGCAGTTACGGAAAATGAATGAATGATTTTGTAGATCTTCTGTGTTGCTGGGGGGAAACATCCATGTTTTCAAACACGTGGAAGTAGACTTTAAGTGCAACTAGACTGGTTCATGGAGGCAAGGCGGTGATTATAGTTTTCTCCTTATTTTGCTGTGTCCTAGACCCTCCTGGACGCAGCCCACAGGCAAGATTGGGGTTTATAAAAAGGTGGCAATCAGGTATCAGATTGTAAGCAGGATGCATCCAAGAGGAAGTTACGAAATTCGTGAAAACACAAATATATCAGACTAGAGTGAATTTAGGGTTGGCTGTTACTTTTACTTTTGCTGGTGATATTGTTCACAAACAGCAACCAACACTTCCTGCTCACTATACCTTTTAAGCTTATTGTGAATATGTTGTATGGGTTTATATTGCAGAGGAGAAATGACAAAGATCTGTTTGCAAAAGAGTCTAACACACATAGTTTGCCCACCAGAAAGCACCAACAAGCTGTAGTGGTTCCAGGATTTTTCGAGAATTTGATCTTGATTCAATAACACATGACACATCCATACAAAGATGGTATTGGAAACAACTTGAGGGCTAAACACTCACCCTGCAAGGAGGCAGAAGCCAATTTTGTGGTATCTGGGATGACCAATCCAATTCCAGGGTTGGCCCTTGGATTTGCCCATGCTGACAAGTTTGTTTTTGTTAGAGCTGCAACTATGACTCAATTGACTGGAACTTTATTGGAACAATTTTGATGAATCATTAATTAGCAAATTGACTGGTGCCAGCCTCTCAAATGTGAATATTTACTGGTATTCTTAGTGTACTGTGGTAATACCCAAATACCTTTGAGCCATTTCACATCTGAAGGTCTGAACCACGGTCTTAACCGAGGTTCACGTGTTTGTTACACTGTATACATTTGATCTAGTTAGTTCTGGTTTCACATTGCAATTATGTCAGCACACTAAGTAATTACACATGACATACCTATTTCTTGTTGTCATCACCAAAATGAGCTGCGCCCCAATACTTGACATAGATTGGTTTCTGGAGGGGCTCTACCATCCTCTCTGAAAATTAGAGTCAGAGTTTTTGAGGGTTTTTCCAACTGACTCTTTACAAAGTCATATCCTCATCTCCCCCATGTACTACCACTGCTCATTTTGTTACATAGCGTTGTTCATGGACAAACCAAAACCTACACTGTACATTTACTACCACTTCACAACTTTACAGCTAGTTTCTCCTCTGCTCTGATTGCCAACACCTGTCTGGTCTGAGTGCAGCCACCATCACTCTCCAGGGGCGTTGTAGTGGGGGCAAAAGTGGGACTGATTTCCCAGGGTCTCAATGGGAAAGGGGGGGCTTGAAAAGTTTGGTTTGGTTTGCATTTGGCCGAATAAATCAGTTGTAAGACTGAACTTTGTATAAAAAATAGTGGTAGCTCTTTGAGGCTCTTTTTACCCCTTAAAGACACACAATGGTTTAGTCCACCCTTCCACTAGGTTTGTCTCTAGACGTAGCTAAAGCAGAGTAAGCACCAGCGTACACTGTCATGTCTTTCCCCAAGAAAGGGAAATTCGGGTTCTAAAAGAAAAGAAAGAAAGGAAGGGAAAGAAAGCAAACTGATTTTGTAAAAAAAAAAAAAATATGTGCGTGAAAGAGACATGGATCAAGAGAGGAAGGGTGTGGATCCCAGAGAGATTGCTCATGCATAGGGCCCAGAAACTGGTGCAACGCCCCTGATTCTCTCTGTTACTCAACCACACACACACACACACACACACACACACACTACACACTGAGGTGCTACACTACTCTTATCATATGACGATAGCCTGCCAAAACTTCCTGTAATTGGCCCAAAAGTCCAAACCATCCAAAAAAATTTTTTTACCAGGAACGAACTAAACCATGTTTCAGTTTGATCTGAACTGAGACCACCTCTCAAGGTTCAGCTTTTCAGTCTGAGCTGTGATCTAGGTAGCTCTCACACTGACAACTCACAACCAAATTGAAAAGTCCAAGAGTTCACACCAAATGAGATGATGATGGTGTGAAAGGGCCCTTAGATTGTAACCTATCTATTTTCTGACTTTTTACAGTCCAATAGATCTGATCTTTTTAAAACTCTAAAATGTCAATTTAGGTATAGACCTTCTCTAACTTGACAACATAAAACATTTAATCAGAATCAGAAATACTTTATTGATCCCAGAGGGGAAATTGAAATTTATTACAGATGATGTAAAGAACAGAGAATTATAAGAGGCAAGAGTAAGAGTATGAAATAGAAGTATGTAAATATAAAGCAATAAAATAAGATACAATAGAAACTAAAATGTGCACAATGCTACAGTGTTTAACAGTAGTACTTAAGATATGAAAAATATTAAAAATAAAATATATGTTGTCACTGTGCTGAGGCTGTAAGTGTGAATATTTAACTATCAATAGAATAAAACAAGAATAGAATAAGAGTTAACATAAGAATACGTACAGTTATGTGCATTACATGTTGAATGAATATATATACATTCAAGAGGTGTTGTTAGAATGAAGTCATTCAGTACTAAAAAATATTGGCGGCAGTTTGATTATTGCACCCAACTGCACCCTAAATGGGTCCCTTTTTTATTTCCGATGGGATAATTTGTTAATGCAGTCGCTGACAGGAAGTAAACGGGGACCAGAGCTGTTGCTCCAATAACAGAATAGCAATGAAAAGGTTAATTAGTTTTAAAAATGCAGTATTAGTCAGGCTCTGGTGTGGATATCAGAGTGGTACAGTAAATTTCTGAACAAAAGTGATGGATTTATTACATTTTAATGTAACATAGGGTTTCACAGCTGAGCTCAGGTATAGATGCAGCCACTTTTCAGCACAGAGGTTAGTGTTGATGTTAGAGCAGCTGCTGAAGCTACTGGAAAAGAGAAACTCTGAAACTTAGAGTACTGAGTGAGTGAAAGTAGTCCATAGTAGGCAGCAACATGCACTGCCCACACCACAGTGCCAGCACAGCGGGTTTATTTTCCATGGAACAGATTAAGTAAACACAGATATGCAGTAAACACAGTGAAAAAAATAACTCAATTTCAAAGGCCGTGTTTTATAACACAAAGGCATCTCTTATGCTAGGATGGCAAACAAAACAAGCTGCCTTTTCAAGGGCCACAGCTCTGCACTGGACAGCATCCCAAAGAGCTCAGCTTGATCTACAAATCAAAGAGGGCCACTTGTGGCCAACTTGGTGCATGGAAAAACATAACAGCCTCAAAGCCCTGCCATCAGAAGTAGATTTATTGCTTCGCGATAAATTTTATGCCTTTTTTTCTATGGATCTGGTAACGTTCAGGAAAAGTTGAAAAGTATCATTTATTAGAGAGGTTAGCGGAGTGGATTTTATTACTACACCAGTACAAGTTTAGTTTTAGTCTGCAAAGAATAAAGGACAACGATTAAAAAAAAAACTGTAAGTTTGTTTTATGTATATGACAATGAATATATCTTTATCTGCTTTAAAAGAAAACATTTAATATCAGGGTTATTGTATTAGAAATATTGGACAGTCTGAGAGTGTAAGAGATCTCTTATTAGTGAATGTGCTGACCCTTCAGATTGCTCATCTTTCAAAGTAGCTGTATTTTTGTGATAGATATCTTTCATGATGTATCACTGCTAAATGAGGTTGTCTGTTCTCTCCATGGCCTGCTGTGTTCGCTGGCCGGATATCAAGAAGCTTAATTTGTTAAATTTATCATAAAACTTAAAGCATATCTTTTTAAAACTGAAAGGAAAGTAATGTTTCTGCTTGTACGTGAGTTTGGATTCATGCCTCAGCAGATTGTGACCATTAAAATAGGATAAATCATCCACACCTCCTATATTTTTCATCAACAAGTGCAGTGTATTAGAGAGGAAGGTGAGCAGGTCCTTTATAAGAACCCTGCAGGGAACCACTGCATGTTATCAGTTGTATGTGGTGCTAACGGCCATATGGACGGAAATTATTGCAGTAACAAGCTTTGAAATGTCGATTTAAACTCAAGTCTGCTGTCGAAGTTTGAGCAACCAGTGCCAAGGGTCTCACAGAGGCGACATCAGTGGTTTCTGCGCTGTGTGAGGAGAGGTCAGAGTTGAACAAAAACAAATCATTACGCAGGGGTGCTCTCTCATTCCATAGCAGGACAACTTATATAAACATATGATGTTCGTCGAGATATCAGAACTGTTCCAACCATGGCTTAAAGCTGCAAACATATGTCATGAGTTTCACTCCTGGTGTGCTGTCTAGTCTAGTGAAGAAAAGTCAAGACCTGACTGATGTCCCACAGAGTGTTGTTCCCCATATTTGAAAAGGGACAAGAAGTAATCAGCTTGATACCAATGGATGCTCTTAGACTAGAAATGGTGACCATATTGTCCGTTTCAGCCACCATTTTTAAAAGTGAGAGTTAAGCCCTGCTTCAACTGGCCTCCCCTGAGCGTGCCCTTCCTCTCCTCTTCCTCTGTGTGTGTGGCTGAGAGCATTACTGACCACTCTCTGTAATCTTAGCACAACAAGTCACACGGGGCAGATAACACTGGAGCGGTGTGGTGGGGGGTGGCAGGGAGGACGTCCTCTGGCCATCGACCCCTCAGAAATTAAAGTCCTCTCTGATGGCCTGTCATCATCCATTATGCGAAATGAAAACTCAAAGGTGTTCTCTCCAAGAATAGCAGCCATTGTGCCAGAGTCTTGGACGTGCACCAGGCTCGCCCCTTGAGTTTGCCCGTACACAAGCGCCTTTGTATTGTTTGTTAAGACATCATTACAGCTAAGTTCACTTTTGAAAGCCTTCCAGATGGCTTGAAAAATTGGTCGGAGTCAGTAGGTTCATCCTTTAGGACCCTGTCAGCTCACAGAATAGCTGCTCTCTTTCAGTGTCTTCCTGGTTCAAGTTTCTGTATCACACTTATCAACACGGGCTAATATCAGTGATCTGCTGCTCCTCTGGCCTGAGGCTGACAGGCTGACTTTGAGTAATTAAAATCCATAATGTATACTGTGTATCACTATACATAACGGTCAACAAACATTAAAGTAACATTTTTTATTTTATTTTGCAGTTACTCCTCCAAACATTGCCCCCCCAAGCCCACGGTATCCTCCTGACAGTAAGTTTTGTATTACACTATCTTTCTCCTCTCCTTTATATTTGCACCTCTGTCTTTGTATGTGGATTTAATTGAATAAATAAATAATACATTATAAGGTAGATAATCGTATGAACATGATTATTATTTTATTTTTGTTATTTTTAAATTTGTATTATTTATTTATATTTATTTTATTATTATTTAACAAATGATTGGCTTTATTTGTTTTTCTTTTTCTTTTTGTAATTATTTCGATATTAAAACACTTTGAGGCCCCATAGTACAACAGCATATTAGGGCCACTGTAGGTACAAATTAAAACAAAATATGGAGATGGAATAATTTCCAAGATCAAAGTCATACATTTTCAGGAAAAAAACCCTGAATAATCTGTGAGATTAGAGTGGTAAATTAACAGGGAAAAAACCACACACATTTTCAAGAAATAAAGCTTGATATTTGTAATTTTTATTTTTTCCAAGGAACCTCATTGCCTTATCTTGTACGGTTCTGCTAAAGTGTGCATACACAGTGTTCATTCAGCAACGTCATACATTCTAAAAACTGAATATAATAAGCTAACATCGACCCACACAGGACACAAACGCCAGTCTCTTGGGCGAAAGTCCTGTGCTTGACCTTTTCATCCACCACTACTTTCTCCCTATGTGGACTGTCACTTTTTATACTACGTCACCTGACTTTCCTGTAGAAAACATTGAATGCCCTGTCTCATAAATTTACTTAAATGCACTTTATAGTCCCAGAAAATTTTCTGTGTTCCTACTTTTTTTTTTGTCCCTTTATAGTCTGAGAGTAAATTATGAATTTAATCTTGGAAATTCAGAGTTTTCACCTGGAATATTACTCCTTCCCCCAGCTCTGCATTATTATTATTATTTTACCTACAGTGGCCACAATTCACTGTCTTACCACCGACTTTGTGTTTAAAAAATTCCCATACCTTCTCATGTTAAAATGAACTGTGTGCTGCTTTGTTTCCTAGACACGCTGTACGTGCTGGACACTCCGACAGTGGTGGGGATCGCCTTCGCAGCCTTTGTGATCGGGGCTCTGTTGACCGGAGCCCTGTGGTTTATCTACTCACACACAGGTAGGTCCTTTACCTGCTGCTCCGCGGCCCCGGCTCACCTCTCCACATTAATGAAAAGATAAGATGCAGAGGAATGTCCGAGTGTCTCGGTGCCAGAAATGTGCCGCTGGGAATGCCAAACATCCTGCTGCTGACAGTGGCCTGTTCACAATAACATATTGACTCCCCTACTGTAAATATATCCTGTTGGTCAGCAGTGAGGGCTCTTCTCTTTCCTGCCTTTGAATGTTTTGGGAGCTGCGGGGTGGTCAGCGAATATTCTCAGTACAATGGCTGAGGACGAGTTGGAAATTCCCCTTGTTGGGTTTAGCGGCCCTCACAGGAAAAGACACACAATCTGTCCATTAGATGCCAAGACCTTCCCCTTCGTCCCCAGACTGCCGACCCCAGCTGACCCCTGGGAGGAAGTGCGCTCCCAGCAGCCCCCTGAGTTCACCGTTGCATAGAGCTGCCCTGTTCTCGTCGGCCTGAATGCTTGGATGGTGATCCGCCATGCCATTGACCTGTGGCCCCGTGGCTGATGTGTTCGCCATGGACGTCTTTCATAAACGGGGTCAGGATGTTTGAGTTTAGGAGTCAGGCTTTTAGAAAAAACATCAGTTTAAGAGTGTTTAAGTTTATGCTGAGTTTACAGTTGGGAAGAAGCTCGCAGTAGGACAGTGTTAAACGGTTGGTTTGGTAAATCTTCCTCCCTGATACTTGTCAGATCTGTCACAAACTATTCCAGTCATGCTTGGTCACAGCTACAAGTGTTTACCGGACAGGATTTCATGCAGCAGAAAAGATCAGCTGTCAGATTTTAGTGCCCTTATCGTTATCACAATATTGTTACTGGCTCCTTTTTAGAAAGCCACTTTATTTCAGCTTTATGGGCTCCCTGGAGTGACAAAGAAACACATGCCTTATTGGCTGGTTTTCCACAGATAGTAGTAAGTGAACATGTATAGATAAACAGGTGCAGTTCTGGAAAGACTTTCACAACATAGAGACAAAGGCACATGTTCCTGTAGATGTTATTTAAATAGGCCTCAGTTGGGTGTGTTAAGCTCTCTTGGCTGAAATGACCTTACAAGGAAATATTGGCAGTTCCATGGAAACCCCTCGAATGTAGATCCCCCAAAACAACCACCAAAAATATCTGTTCAGCGTGTATTTTAAACTTGTGTACAGAGTGATGAAACATGAAAACAGATCTGGGTCTTTCCCCTCAGGCTCTGAGGACAGTGTTCCTGGCCTCTTGAGAAAGAAACTTTTTTAAGTTACAGATACTCACTGGCATTATATTTTGGGTTTTGTGTCCATTACAGTTTAATTCCAAATAAGGCAATTACAAGTTTAAATGCTTTAAAAAGCACCTCACAATATATTATTTGACATTTTGCTCATTATCTTGGCACAAACAGTACGGTAGGTCTGCATTCTGCCAGGGCTGCACTCATGACTGCCAAGAGATCTGCTCCTCACCTCTGCTCAATCGCTGAAATAGCATACGAATGACACATACAGCCCAGTCGCCAGAAGAAATTGTTGGCATTGTACATTTCTGCAAACCATGGATATGTTACATTTGTACATTTTGTGTGTAGCATATCAATATATCTACAGTGATATAGTTCAGATTACATGTGTATGAGCTGACTGTCATTGGGAGGTAGGGATTGTAGATGGCGTGAAACCTAGGCCAAGCTGTGATTGTGGCACCAAAGTTGGGTGTTTTTGTAGTGAGACATTGGGGAATTTCCAGCTGCGATTGTTCCACCAAAACCAAATGTCTTTTAGCAAGACGTCACAGCATTTCCAGCCGCAACTATGGCACCATTTTTTTGAGATTTCAGGGCATATCAAACTGTGATTGTGGTACTAAAACTGGGTGTTTTTTTAGCATGACATCTTTGCATTTCCAGCCATAATAGTAGCAGTAAACCTGTTTTGTTTTTTTTTAAGTGAGACACTGGGGCATTTCCAGCTGCAATTGTGCCACCAAAACCAAATGTCTTTGAGCAAGATGTCACAGCATTTCCAGTGGCAATTGTGGCACTAATACTGGGTGTTTTTTGGTGAGATATTGCGGCATTTCCTGCCGCAATTACGGCACCAAAACCGGAGGTTTTTTGTGAGATGTCGCAGCATTTCCAGCTGCAATTGTGGCACCAAAACCCTTTCTTTTTGACATTTCAGGGCATATCTAGCTGTGATTGTGGCACTAAAACTGGGTGTTTTTTGCAAGACATCTTGACATTTCCAGCCATAATAGTAGCAGAAAACCTGTTTTTTTAAAGTGAGACATCCAGGCATTTCCAGCTGTGATTGTGGCAACAAAACCTGGTATGTTAAGCCAAAATGGTCTATGATCTTGTCTTAATCATAAGTGTTTTTTGTGCCTAAATATAACTGCATGTAAACCACAGCATTGCTGGAATTTAAAGAACGCTATGTTTGAACATATGGGCTACACATGAAGAAACATACAATGCCAACATTTATTCTGGTGATTGGGCTGAAAATTCAAACCAATTGTGAAAACAGTCCGAATGACAAACGTCAGGAGAAACTGCACAACAGCTTCATCTTTTAGCCACGCTAGCAGCTCATGTAGGTTGGTCGTTCCTCCATTTTGGATAGACTGAAATATCTCAACAACTAGGATGGATTGAGATGAAATTTTGTCCCCACATTCATGTTACCCATTAGATGGATTCTAATGACTTTTGTGATCCTCTGAACTTTCCTCTAGCGCCACCATGAAGTTTATATTTGTAGTTTTAAGTTGTGCTTCTGCTGTTGTGATTTAGGCAAAGGCAAATTGTCCCATAGTCATACATCTTTGGCAGCAACCCCATGCAGAGTTTTTACACACAGCTTGTCTTTGTGACATTAAAGCAGCTCTTATCTCTCCCATCTAGAAAGATAATATTGGACTTGGGAATTTATATTTCCTCAGACAGATGAGGTGGATCCAAGTGCCTTTGTTTTGTACAGCTCTTGGTCCTGCGAGGGAAAGACCGCTGGCAGCTCTGCTCTGGTAAACATTAGCAGAACGAAGGGGCCCCGAAGAGGGAGTGGGATGCAAGATAGCCTGTGGACACATATGACAGTCATATACGCAGCACACACACAACTTTTTAGCACAACCCAAAATGTTGGCAAAAAAAAACTTTGTTTAAGAGACAGCATTTTATTGTGTGTTCTCATTTTTTCTTGGAGGAATAAAACTAGGAAGCAAACAAGGAAACAACTGCAGTAATAATCGTGCCAAATACTGAAATTAAACACAGACTTGGCTTTTTTTCAAAAGCTCGTTCATTGTCTGTCAGAGACATTTTTTGCAAACAAACGTAAGCACTTTTATTATCCCAAGAGTCTATGAAATGAATGCTTATTTAGACATAGAACAATAAACCAGTCAGTGGTTGGAGCTCTAGTCAGAAGGTCCTGTCTTGTGTTTGCTCTGCTTTATCTGCTAAAGCCAGGCTAATTGAATCCAGATAACTAAAGAAATGAACTCCATGAACGTGAATCATTCTCTTCTCCTTTGGTTCAAAATATTATCTGTCAGATAGGATGTGACTGGTTGTTTCTGGGCTCTCTGAGGTGGAACGTTTCGGTCCCAGCAGTTGAAAACAGTTTGTGAGTGTGTGACAGATTACGATTGAAGACGGGAAAAGTTAGTGCAGATGAAGTCCAGAGTTCTTTCATTGCTTTGCACATCTGCCAAGTGCTTTGTACTGAAAACTAGATAGTTGTAACTTGTGCATGAGTAAGAATGTGTGAATTTGCACAAGGCTCTGCACAAAACATCAGGCTAAATCATTTGATTTTAACTCAAGTGCTAGATTTAAGTGGTGACAGTCATAGTAAACAGCAGGAGATTAACCAGCACTTTCTTTTTTTTTTTTTAAACGTCAGAGTATGGAGGAACAATGGAGGTTTCTAGCATCTCAGAGGAGTGCAATTTGTAGCTTTAAACAAACCAATTTATCATGTCTCTGCCTACCTCTGCCGTTCTGTAATATATATACATTTTTTCTACCCCCCCCCTTTGGTTCGATCCCCTCCTCCTTCCCTCTCCATTCCCTCTCTTTCTTTCTAGGTGAGACAGCTGGCATGCAGCAGGTCCAGAAGTCCCAGCCGGCCTCAGAGAACAGCAGCGCAGCCCACAGTATCGGCAGCACACAAAGCACACCCTGCTCCAGCAGCAGCACAGCGTAGCCCAGGACGCAGGCCAGCAGGACACAAAGCCCTGCCGTGCCACAGGAAGGGCCCGACGGTTCACAGGGACCGGTTAGTTGATCTCCTTCCATGAAAGGAATTATTTTTGGGGAATGCAATAGGAAGGAAAAAATATGATATGAAAAAAAAAACACACAGTTACACCTTTGGTTCTTATATGAATTCCTTTTGTGCCACTTCAAGTGTGTGCAGACAAATATACTGTCCTGGTGTTACTGCTCTGTAATGTAGTGAGACCCAGCTTGGCAGCCTCACCTTTAGTTAAAAAAAACTACAAATGTGAGTTTATTCCAGGCATTTCTTTCCAATCCAAATGCTGCTTTTTTTCTGACCACAACACAGCCTTTAGTTTTGGCCTTACATGGTGTGACTTAGGCTGTTTGTTACAAGCAGGTGCTCTCCAACAGCAGGCTGCAGTGATGTCAGTATTAGTGAGAGTGATGTTCATGGCTGGACTGTAACACGTTACTTCACAACATGCAACCCTGAAGGTGGCAAAGGAGCAAAGCAACCACTATTAACATGCGGACAAAGTGCAGTAAGAAAGGAAATGGTCGTCTTGACACAGAGAGAGAGAATGGCTTCAAAAAGATGCGAGTCAGCATAGGTATTGAATGTATACAGAAGAGTTAACGCCAAAAAATGTGAAAGAAAAATGTGAAAGACATGCTGATAAAATACCACATTCTATAATGTACTCATTCTTCCCTCATAATGGATTTAAACATACAGCTTGGTAAAGCATAATTTACCAGTGCTCTCTATACAGTAGTTGTAGTGATGCATTTCAGTAGACAGGAGTCTGAGTGTTACAAAACTTCATAGGGGCATTATGGGTTCCCTTTTACTAGTAGTCATTAATGGAGTAGTTCAGCATTTTGGGAAATGTGTTTATTTGCTGTTTGTCCAAAAGTTAGAGGAGAAGAGTGCTTTAAAAGGAATATTTCAACCACAGAATGATCACTTGTAAATCACCCCGTTTTAAACTGAGAAGAAAACTTTGCTTTTCTGGCATGCCTCCACAGTGAAGGAAGAATCGAAATAAACAGAGAACATTTTGATGAATTGGAGTATAAGGGGTCTGCGTTCAACAAGAGCAAAGCTAAATAAAAACATCTGTTTAACAAACTCTTACACAACTCGTGCAGCCTAACTCAAGTCTCATTTATCCAGTCGTGCACTCTGTGCTTCCTAAACAGACAGATCCTCTCTAAAGGGGAATTGTACTAAAGGTTTTCGCCAACTGGTGACATGACCGGTGCCTTGATCTATAGTTTGTTTGTGTTATTGTGTGACTTTGCTAAATCTGAAGTAACCTTCTAAAGCACCAAAGTCACACAATAACCCTAACTGATCAAGCCAGCGATTGACCAGAAGCTCCTGTGTTCAGTGAGATAAGACGACCTTTACATTTTTGTCAATGGAGTCTGGCTTTGAGGAGAGCGTAGATAAGTTCGCTTTCAGGGTGCTTTCAGACCTAGAGTTGTCTTGCTTTGGTCTGAATCAGGGACTAATTTTGTTACACAGTTGTATAATTGCCTAGAGTTGGTTCATGTTCTCAGGGCAGCATTTACAAGCGGACCAGATAAAATACCTTACGTGAGAAAGCTGCTCTTGGTTGGTCAGAATTTGCAGATCGAGGTCAGAACACGTTCTCACCACAAACGAACCGCACCAGAGTTAGTTTGTAACCGGACTGAGACCACCTCTTCAAGAAGGTCTCGATCTGGTTGTTTTGGTGCGCACCTGAGTGTGATTGCTGTGTTCACACCTGCCCAAATGCACCGCACTTAGGGGGCAAACGAATTTGAGTTCGATTGAACCGAACCAAACAGGGCAGGTGTGAGAGCACCCTTCGATCAGGTCCCTGTTGGAAAGGGCTGCCTGTTTGTTAAGCACTGAACATATGAATGGAGTGAGATTTGGATTATACTGCACGAGTTGTGTGAGAGTTTGTTAAAGGATGTTTTGATACAGTTTTGCTGCTAAATGTGGCCCCATTTTACTTCAGTTCATCAAAAAATTTCTAAATTCTTGGATTCTTGGTTTACAGTGGAGGCATGTGAGGAAAACAAAGTTGTCTTCACGGTTTCAACCTAACACGGGGCGGGTAACATACAAACGATGATGATCAGCAGAGAAAACAGGTAGCTCAGATAAATATATGAACATTTGTAAGAAAAAGTTGCTACTGTTACATAAAAAAAATATTCCTCTGAGCTCGCTGTTTCCCCCGCTTCATGTTTTTAGGCTAAGCTGGCTAATCTCCTGGGTCAGTCTTGTAAATTAAGCCAATGAGGATATTTCCCAAAATGCAATAATCTTTTAAGACCTGTATATTTTTTGTGAATATTGTAAATACTCAAAAGTGTTATGAGGCAGAGTGTGTGCAACTTCCGTTCTCTGTATCTTGCATCTCTGGATTAGACGAGATTTATCAGTGTGAGATGCACGTTAGTACCGTTTCTAATTTTTAATGTGATAAAATAAAAATCATGGCGCTAAATAATAAATTCACTTTAAGGTATAAATAAAGAACATGGATTCAAAATCATGGCTTAGTCTAGTTGACGTACCTTGACGTACTTCAGAAATTGTAAAAAACAAAACAAAACAAAATACACATTTTTGGCCTTTTCTCTTTATAAATAACTTAAAGATGATTATTTTTCTGTCAATGAACTAATCAATTATTCAACTAAATGTTTCAGTACATAGACGGAGCAGATTTGTTACGTTCAAAGCCAAACCGTGTACAGTGTATGGATTTTCTTACCTTTTTGTATAAATCTTGGCACTGACAGTGTGTTGAATAAGCTGTAGCTGAAGCTCATTGCTATAGACATATATATATTTTTATGTTTTTATTTTTAAACTGCAACACCACGAGTACCCCACCGTCTCAGAATAATATGAATGTTTGCTGTAGTGCCTTCTTTGAACCTGTATGTGTTCCTATCCGACTGCATGCGGGGCCTTCGAATCCGAGAAGGGAACTCTCCCTGAATCGATTTAACAGAACAACAGAATGTATATTATCTCAAAGCTTTTGATTTTTTTTTTCTTCTTTATGTAAACACATGTAAAGCTTTCTACAGAGGGAACAGAGTCTAAATATATATTTGTGTACAAAATTATATTTTGGAATATATTTACCAAGAGAAATTTATTGTATTCTATGTGTGTACGTACTGTGAATTGTGGATGTGCTCGTACATAACACACGCTTGTGGGGGATTTAATCAGTTTATTCATGAAGGGCTCGTGGCATGTTTTGTGACACTGAAACTCAAAATTAAATATTCATATGTGTGATACAAATTATTCAGCTTCTTTTTAAATATATATACAGCTTAATTTGAAAAACTTCAGTCGTTGACATTAACAATCTTTGACACTCCACTGACATCATGTTTATTTACATTTGATACTTTTAAATTTCAGTTGTGTTATTGAAGAATGTGTCATAAAACGTGATGAGTTTGTAATGAATGTGATTTTCAGACAAAGCATTACCTGCAGGTCATTTCTTCTGTTCATGGACTCCTTATGTTTTGTTTAAATGTGATTATAGGTTGTCATCTGATCACTGTTTTCAATAGATAATCAGTTTGTTAATTAGTTTTCATAAAATTAATATATCCTAAATACAAATTTCACATCATTGAGGACCAGCTGTACTAATGAATATTAAACTGTATTTTTAATATACTTAATAATGGAGTCAGTCCCACACAATTTTCCCTCTTACCTGTAGTGCTATTTATCAATCTAGACTGTTTTGGTGTGTATTGCAGTGTTGGAGATATCAGCTGTAGAGATTACTGCCTTCTCTCCAGTATGATGGAACTGGACAGCACTCAGCTTGTGGTGCTCAAAGCGCCAAAAAGCATACATTTGAAAAACTCAACAGCAATGTCTCTTTCCAGAAATCACAACCTGGTTACTCAAGACAATCCACAGACCTTGTTGTGAGCAGTTTCATGTAGGAACTATTTTCTGCCTACCGTATCACCACGCAGAAGGAAGCGTGCATCTACTCATGGGCAAGATACTGTTGGTGACAGCACAAGATGGCGTCCATCTTGGCTGAGCCGAACGTTAGCTAGCTCAGTGGTGTAATGTTGTGTTCACTAAAAAAAGTGTGATTGGATTTTTCACATTGCATCACTCGCGCGAGTTTGAACACTAGAATATTTTGTTGACTTGTGTCGTATGCGCGTGAAATTGCTGAATCAATGAATAAACATCCACCTGTACATCCTCGAAGTCATATGTCTCTGGAGGATTTCAATGCTGATTGGCTATTGCGGCGCAAATTGGTTGCTGGTCATCGTAAGTGCTATATCGTAGGCAACTGGACTTGCTTGCGTTTCTTGAAGACGTTTCGCCTCTCATCCAAGAAGCTTCTTCAGTTCTAAATGACTGGTGCAAAGTTGCAGGCTATAAACCATCACCAACCACCTTCATTTAGAACTGAAGAAGATTCTTGGATGAGAGGCGAAACGTCTTCAAGAAACGCAAACAAGTCCAGTTGCCTACAATACAGCACTTACGATTACCATGACCTGGATGACTGAGAATCTTCACTGACAAGTTGCTGAAGGTCAGATTTTTCCGGAGTATAACGCAAAATCGTGCTACTGGCTTAATTCGCGCTGCTTGATTCACATATTTAACATTATCAGTGTTGCATTCATCGCACTGCCCAGTGGGAATTCACGTCTAATTGCGTCTTTACATTGACTTTAACTGTACTTCACTCACGCAAATTATTTTATTCACGCCCATTGTGAATAAAATAAAATACTGAAGGCAGGCTGTTCTCATAAACTGTTCCTATGACAAGTAATGCAGCACAGACTTTGCTGTTGAGTTTTTCAAACGTAATTTTTTGGCACTTTGAGCACCACAAGCCGAGTGCCATCGAGTTCCATTATATTAGAGTGAAGGCAGACATCTCTAGGGCCGACATCTCCAGCACTCTGCAACTCACATCAAAACTATCCAGACTGATAAATAGCACCACAGGTAAGAGGAGAAATTTGTTATTTTTTGTTTTTGGGTTGAACTGTCCCTTTAAATCAAAGCTAAAGATGGCAGCAGCGGTTAAACCAAATGAAAGTGGAATGTTTATAAAGTGTGTGTGTATTCTGTCTGAATGGAGGGTGGAGAAAATCCAACTGTCTGTTATTTTGTTTCTGGAAACTCAACTGTTTTTAATAACACTTGGGAAATATTTTTTTTTATTGAGTATTAGAACCACTTGGTTTAAGAGCAGCGTTGTTTGTTTTATCGGGCCTGTTGCCAGGTGCGTCCGTGCCAAAACCACAGTTATACAGTGAAAATACACAGCGGTGATACGTAGTCCACTGTCGCTGTCATCGAGTAGCGTTATTGTGAACAACAACACTGTATCCCACTGTGTACAGAACAGTGAGAGATGCAGAGGGGAAATGTGCCGCAGCCTATAATCAGTGGTCATTGTGGGATTAAGGCTTTTGGACATTCCTGTAGTTTTGAGGTTGCTCTTATCAACCTCGGCAAAACCATCTCCCCACTTGTAATTATCTCCTCCACCCCCTCGTGGTGTCACGCTGTTCGGCGGCTGAGCCTCAAGTTATGTTCTGGATCTAATCTTCTCATTTGCGATCAATTTGGGGATATTCTTTCACTCAAACTAACCATACAGTTCATGATAGTCGCTGTTAAAATATCCACATTCCTCCCTGCTGTTTGCCCAAGTGCATGGTGGGAAAAAGCCCCATTACTCCCCCTACATGAGCATGTAAAAGATAATGTTATCAATATGAAATACCAATGCTGTGTCAAATAAAGGAGCATTGTTATCGAGAAGATATTTTCACAGAACGGCTGTAATTGGAGCACACATCCATACATCTAGTTAATGATTGTATTTTTTAACCATTTGACTACCTCATGTTTTTCTATAATTGTGTAATTTGTGTACTATGTGTGTGAGTGTTTTTTGTGCCTTTGTTTGAACCACTCACTTCGAATGTAATCACTGGATTGAATGGGCCTTATCAGTTGTTCTCAGCCTTGTAGATATGGGTTAGAAGGTGCCTGCTATGTCTACTAGTAGGTTACTAGAAGGCCGGTGTCAGTCGTCATCTGGATCGAAAAGGCGTCCCTCAGTGGGTGTAGAAATTAAATTTAAAAACAACAAAGGACCAGGAGAGTGATGTTCATGTCCTGTGTGAAACCAGAAGTCAACAACAAACCCATTTTCTTTTCCTGAACCTAATCATGGAGTTTAGGAAACTCAACCTAACGAAACTAAACTCAGCCAGCACTCATTCCAAATTCATCAAATACTGACGCTTCGCCACACCCCTCAGTGTCTGGTAACAACGCACAAGGCACCATTTTGTGTCTATAGGTGACACACAGCCAAAATACATGGTAACACGTGGTTAAAAT